CACGGACGTCTGATTGAAAATTGGAATGGTGTAAATTGATGCTATCAGTGTCCCTGATACACATACAAATTTAGAAAACCTCTTTACAATCTCTTTAAGAATAATGAGTTACGTGGCAGGTAGATTAAATATATAGAAACAAACATGAGGTATTAACCGAAAAGGAACATTTATTCTGATAGAAAATGATTTGTAAAGAATTGACACCAGTATTTCCTTATTTTCAATCTGTCTAGGATCTAACAGTCCAAAAACATTTCCCTAACTTTACAGGATCTATCACCAGAGCTTTGAAAATAAAATAAAAGCTTCTGTTGTTTTGGTGACATCTGAGGTAAAGAGTTGCCTGTTGACATTTGTTAAGACCTAAATACATTTTAACAAGAATGGATTATAAATTGCGGAGAAAAACGAAGATATTTCAGACTGAATTTGTTTGTCTAAAACGATTCGTCAACTTTAAAACGACTCTAAAATTTGAATTTCTAAAAAAGAATCTGAATCTAGCAAGTAAGTAGACCTTTTGAATTTGTATATATAGAGACCTTAATAGAGAATTAGCAAGTTACTGTAGCACAGCCAGTTGAGTTTTGGTTCTTTACATGACGTCATTTGTTTGGTTACGTCGAGCGAATGGTGGCTGTGGGTTCAATTCTCGATCGGCGTGTGATAGTCCGACGACCTTGAAGTCTTCACTCATAATTCCAGTCGACCCAGAGGTAAATGGGTACGGTTAATCCAGGAAAGATCAATGCAGAGAGGTTTGACCAAGGACCAGCTGGTAGAAAGGATCCTTGACTGTGAACCTAAGTTGTTATCCTTGTAAAATATAGTCATTTCTTTCTTTGTAAGTCTACCAAATGGAAAAAATACATTAATGAAATGCATTTTCATGTTCTGTTTATATTTTTAAATTGTAGAATGAAAATTACTCTGATGTTACTCGTTGTTGCTGTAATGATGATGGGTCTAGAAGCCCACTCAACACATGTTCATGTTCGTGTAAGAAGAGGTTGGTTATGGGGTAAGAGAGATGTGAAAGGTGCTGATTTTGATGCTGCCTATAATGCTGCTGCTGAAGATGATGTTTTTACTGACGATGAGATAAAATCAGTATTTGGTGTTGATGTGGACGAGTTCAAAGCAGCATATGATTTGAACGGCAAGTACCAGTCAATGGTCATTTTTCCATCAGACTTAGAGGTCAACAGATCTAGAGGTCAAAAAGATCTAGAGGTCAAAAAGATCAAAAGATCTAGAAGTTAAAAAGATCAAGAGATCTGGAGGTCAGAATGGTCAAGTGGTCAAAAACGACCATGACACATGTTAAAAGTTTTACCATTATTAAAATTTGTATCGAATAAATAAATTTATATAAGGTCATGTTTGTGGTCGTACGAAACCATCTTACATGGAAATAACACGCTCGCACATGTGATCTGAAGGCTTTGTTGATTCAAATTCAACTTATGCAGTTTAAGAAGAGATTCAAAATAGTTGTGATCTACGTTCGTGTGTGTTATTTCCATGTAAGAACTGTATGTAGTTTTTATGGTGTTCTCTTCAGATTATACACAATGATATTATTTTTACAGATGATGGGGTGGTAAAAGTATTAGAGTACGAGTTGGTCAACAAAGGTAAGGTATAATTTATTCTTAAAACAGATTCTAAAAAGTTTTCTTTAGGCGATACTTTGTGTTCATTCACTATAATTCACAATGACCTTTAAACTTATTTCTTGTCGACTAAATACATTTCGTGTACTTGTAGATTTAAACCTGTAATAGATTCAGAATTATATATACAGTATATCCTGCTCATGCGACCACCTTTATTAAGCAATCACCTTCAATATGCGACCACAAACAAAATCCCCCTACGAGTTTTCAATGTAATTAACGACTCATAAGCGACCACCTTCATAACGCGACCATGACACTTATTAACTCCCTTGATTAAACATCACGTTGTTTCACATATCGGTGAGATTAATCGAGATTATCGCTTATCGTATATACCTTGGCTTTCTTTTTGTGATTGGGGTATTGACTTCGGGATTCGGAATTAGATGCATACATGTAAGCTTTCTCCATGCGACTCTATAAACATCATCCCGATTGATTTTCAACCCGAGGGAGTAATGACGATTGAAAAAAACAGGAATATTCTTACTGTAGCATGAAAATTGAATTTTGTTTTGTTTATATTCCAGTGAACCAAGATGAATAAATCCAATGAAGAAAAATGAAAATTATAATTTGTTCAGTTTTAATGTAGAATAAATTATTGCAGCGTACATTTGTTATTAACCCCATCTAGCCCCGAATTTTTAGCACTTTTCGGGTCATTTTGAAACGTATCTCACCAAAAAACAACCGGAATCGCATATATCAAATATAATAGATCCGAAACCTTTCAGAGTATCATTGAGCATAACCAAATACAGATTCTAAATAACAAAAACATAATTTTACATAGTGGAAAGTAGCACCCCCCCCCCCCCAATCCCCCTCCTATGGACAATTTTGTGCCACTCTAATGTCTCCAAGAAAAGCCATTGGTATTGATCAGTGTATTACCATTTTGATATTTTGCTAAATTTACTCAAATAATGAACATGAAGATATTCACTAAATATATAATTTAATATTCGATAAATGTTAGTAATTGTGTCTCCTTGATTATGTTTATCCGCGTTTAAATGTAAAAATGACCACTCGCCTTTTCTTACACAAAATACACAGTGAATAGACAAATAGTGAGTGAAATTTCTAGTTTAAGGCATATTTCATGAATTATGTAATTTTCGTGCGGTTCTAGTAATCTGAAGACTATTTACATATATTCGAGTCCTGAATCAACCAACGAAAATTGCGAATCTCTCCCTTTAACCCTTGGTGAATAAGGAAACGGAGTATTCACACAGATGGAAGAAATGAAAGTGGGTTAATCATCACCGGATTCAAATTATTCAGTGGCACAAAAACAAGGTTAACCTGATTCATTAATCTTCAATTTTACAACATGAACATATCGACCTTGAAATTAAATAAAATATTCATTACCCTTGCCAATATTTCTGTGTTATTTTTCTATAAAGGGCGAGAAAATCACTTGTACAAATCAAAACCATATTAGAACGTCTCAAGGTAAGAATGATATATTTTGTTCAGGTTGAATGTTAAACTGATAGATTTGGGCAGTGATTCGATATTGATATTATCAACATTGAACTTTTAGGCTGACTGTACTAACTACCAACAGAATCTCTGTATAAGACGCTAAATCAGGTAAAAAAATTCTCGAACTGTCGAATAACTAAATTTCGCAAACTGAATTATTATTATTATTATTATTATTATTATTATTATTATTATTATTATTATTATTATTATTATTATTATTATTATTCAGTGATTTTGTGATTGGATAATTTATCCAACAAACCATTAACCATCTTCAGTTGTATTACCTACCCCGATTTGATTTATGGGCCTGCCATGAACTAATTTTAGAGTCACAACCACCAATACGACGTTTATATTCTATTACTGTTTCAGGTATAAAACAACTGACAAGACTACAAACAACAATGATGAATTTAACTGTAGTTACCTCCCTTCTCGTCATGGTGGCTATTTCGTTACAATCTGTTGAAGGTGGGCGAAGGTAAGTTCTGATATTTCCTGTAGAAGGGGTTAATCAGACCCGTTGTTGAGGGGCAGGTAATATATCCGACGGGGCAATAGTGTATGGTGTTTTGATTCAGTAATGGAATTACCAACTTCGTACTTATCCTTGACTGCAATAGCCACTATTCTTATATCACGGAATGCGGTGGTTTGGTTGGTTGGTTGGTACGCCAGCAAATATAGCCAATCAGAGGCCTTGTCAGAAACAATATGGTTCACAGACTTCTGATTAGTAGGACTACTTGGTTTAATTATTACTCTCTAAAGGAAGATGGGTATTGCAGTCAAGGTATATGAGGAATAGCGTGACATTGTGAAGATGTAGTTTGTAATAGCTTGACACTGTGAAGATGAAGTTTGTAATAGCTTGATATTGTGAAGATGAAGTTTGTAATAGCTTGACATTGTGAAGATGTAGTTTGTAATAGCTTGACATTGTGAAGATGAAGTTTGTAATAGCTTGGCACTGTGAAGATGTAGTTTGTAATAGCTTGACATTGTGAAGATGTAGTTTGTAATAGCTTGACACTGTGAAGATGAAGTTTGTAATAACTTGACATTGTGAAGATGAAGTTTGTAATAGCTTGACATTGTGAAGATGAAGTTTGTAATAGCGTGACACTGTGAAGATGTAGTTTGTAATAGCTTGACATTGTGAAGATGAAGTTTGTAATAGCTTGGCACTGTGAAGATGAAGTTTGTAATAGCTTGACATTGTGAAGATGTAGTTTGTACTAGCTTGACACTGTGAAGATGTAGTTTGTAATAGCTTGACATTGTGAAGAAGAAGTTTGTAATAGCTTGGCATTGTGAAGATGTTGTTGGTAATAGCTTGACATTGTGAAGATGAAGTTTGTAATAGCTTGACATTGTGAAGCTGAAGTTTGTAATAGCTTGACATTGTGAAGATGAAGTTTGTAATAGCTTGACATTGTGAAGATGAAGTTTGTAATAGCTTGACATTGTGAAGATGTAGTTTGTAATAGCTTGACATTGTGAAGATGAAGTTTGTAATAGCTTGGCATTGTGAAGATGTTGTTGGTAATAGCTTGACATTGTGAAGATGTAGTTTGTAATAGCTTGACATAGTGAAGATGAAGTTTGTAATAGCTTGACATTGTGAAGATGAAGTTTGTAATAGCTTGACATTGTGAAGATGAAGTTTGTAATAGCTTGACATTGTGAAGATGAAGTTTGTAATAGCTTGACATTGTGAAGATGAAGTTTGTAATAGCTTGACAATGTGAAGATGAAGTTTGTAATAGCTTGACATTGTGAAGATGAAGTTTGTAATAGCTTGACATTGTGAAAATACTTTCTTGTCAATTTACGAACTATTTTATGTTTCAGATGTTGGTGTGATGCCCGAGTCAACGGTGTAGTTATTAAAAACTTCGATGTAATTGCTAGTTGTGGTGGATGGTGTGGATGTAGAAATGATAACATCAATCGATGTGGTTTAACTTGTGATGAAAAGGTACAGCATTGGGCAGAAGGAAATTGCGTAAAGCATTATGACCACCAACAAGTTCGATCTCACTTTAAAGCCAGTAATTGCAAGACTGGAGATGGACAACGCACATTCAAATGTATTCCTCCAAAAGAATGTACTAAAAAAGTTACCAAAAATGTCCCTTATACATGTTATAAAGTTGTCTCGGAGACAGTTAAATACCCATGTTAATAGTTTGGTCCTTCAGCTGGACTGGTTCTAACTTCTATAGAAATAACCAGCTACCTAAACTGAATATTGCTCCAAAAGTAGAGTGAATCGACTTGTCATGTAGTTTTACTAAAAATAAAAAACATTACTATTTTGTATTTTAATCTTTTTACACATTTGTAAGGAAATGTTACAACTTCTACTAGTACAATCAGACTGAGATAGGAGTTAAGTTGGGTCACAGGACATTCTATCACTATGTTAAATGATTAAAGATTTGAAAGTTGGGGAGCCAAACTCGGACCAACCTCTTTTCTGTTATCTTCTTAAATCCTGGGCTTTTATAAGCACTCAATGATAATACCTGAATATGGACCTTATATGTTCATTCTAAGAGGTAGTATCTCTTTACACCGAGCAATGTGCTACCTTTTGGATCATTGGTCCAAGGCATCAAATTGTACAGAAAGGCGGTAAAGTGGAATTTAAATTTTCATTATTCGTTGTACTGATGAGATTATGTTAACCAATGTAAATTAATTCCTAGAAAAACAAAATTAATGCACGGTATGATCCGGGTTGAATTAACCCATGACGTCAAATTGCAAGATTTAAATTTGAGAGATGATACCTGCCAGTTGTGTGATTCATTTTCAATCTGGAGAAAAATATTGACTTAGATGTCAAATAAAATATTTTGATGCAAAAAATGTGTTATTTTCCTATAAAAGACGAAAGTCACATTTTCATATCAAGAACAAGTTTAAACGTCTCAAGGTAAGAATAATAATATTTTGTCCGGGTTAAGAGTTTAGATTTGGGCAGTGATTCGATACTGATATTATCAACAGTAATCATTGAATATAAAGGTTAATTGAGGGTCTAAGATTTTTCTATGAGTTTTTCTGATGAATATTACAACCAATGAAAACCAATTTGAATTATTTGTTGTGCTATAAACAATGTTTCTTTCGGTCTCGAGGTTGTCTTTGAGTTTGATTCGGACTACATACGTCATCGTCGCTTAAATACGATGTTAAGTTCAAATAACCAACCATGAAATATATTTGGAGACGCATTTCGAACCATAACAGTAGAAAACCCGGAAGTCAGCTCTCGGTGTATTGGCGATCTGAAATATAGATACAGTTGGACCTGATCTCCAAGTACATTTTATATAACAAGATGTTTTTAACGTCGTCGGTCAACATTTCTACAGGAAAAGAAAATATTCTGTACTACAATAACATCCCCTCCCTCTCTCTTCCCTTCCTGATCTTCCACCACATTTCTGTTACAGGTATTAAACAACTGACAAGACTACAAACAACAATGATGAATTTAACTGTAGTTACCTCCCTTCTCGTCATGGTGGCTATTTCGTTACAATCTGTTGAAGGTGGGCGAAAGTAAGTTATTGATTCTGTATGAACCATCTGGATACCAGACATGGTCTAGGGTAGTATCGAGTACAACAAGCTAAGTTCTAAGAATACTCAGAGCTACAATGTTAGCCGAGGCTGTGTATAGTGTAGTTACATGAGATGTTTTTTATTTAAAGCATGTAACACGTCAAATGTCGCCACTTAGGGGCTTGTCCCTTTGGTTTAAAACCTACGAGATTGTTAGTTTAATTGTATGTGATCAATATTCAATTAACTCGAATGATTGAATAATCATTTAACGGGTGATTGTCTAATTATTTGCTTTCCCATCTTTCCATCTGGTAGAGATCAAATTCAGCTGTGTGTGTGTCACTACTCAAATAAAAATAAAGTTGTGGATGAAAGAAAAATGTACCGACAGAAACATGGAAGCTGTGAATGAAGGTCTAATGAGAACGTCTTGTTCCGATTCGATAGTCCCCCCCCCCCCCTTTCTTGATACAAAGAAACAGTGACGAACAAGCGGCATCTGAGTTTTTACTTAGACAGAAGGAAAACACCTTTCTAGATATAATAATATGACTGGTTTTTTTATTCTCACTTTTGTCTGTATTTCGGTGAAACGTAAAGCGTACTTTAAGTAGCTGTTCTACTTTCAGATGTTGGTGTGATGCCCGAGTAAACGACGTAGTTATTAAAAATTTCGGTGTAATTGCCAGTTGCGGTGGATGGTGCGGATGTAGAAATGATAATATCAATCGATGTGGTTTAACTTGTGATGAAAAGGTCCATCAATGGGCAGAAACAGTTTGTTTACAGAAATATAAAGGACAACAAGTTAGATCTCACTTTAAAGCCAGTAATTGTAAGACCGGAGATGGAAAACGCACATTCACTTGCGATCCCCCACCAGTTTGTAGTAAAAAAGTCACCAAACGTGTCGCTCACACTTGTTATAAAGTGGTCACCCAAACAGTAACCTACCCATGTTTACGTTTAACGCGTCCTTGGGGTTAAGGTGATCCTTTGGTGGGCCCGGTTCGTCCTTTCACAAAAGTCTGAAAAGAGTAGTTTTACAAAAATAAATAACTTTTTCGTTTGGACCTTTATCTTTTAACCCCTTTGTAGCCAAATCTTGTAACTATTACTAGTATAATCAGACGGGGATTGAGTTGGGTCTAATTTCCGATAAAGATTTTCTTTCGTTTAACCCCCCTTCAGGTGCCAAATCAGGGACAAGAACGTAATATGTCACGCTCAGATGAACAGTTTTGCAGATTATGTAGCTATTTCTATAAGTATATCCTGTTGAATTATAGAAGTAAAGCAACAGACATGTCGTGGACCATGAATAGATTTTATGTCTTTCTGTAGTTTCATCCCCCTGTCAGTGATGAAGGTAAGAAGGTCATCGTGTCCAAACCACACCCCCATTCGTCAAAGACCGTGTCAAAACCCGTATTCGTGATACAATGGTAAGAGGGGCTGGCATGGAAAAAGAGTCTTGTCGTTCGGATGGGACAATAAAAAGAGGTTTGAAGGCTGGGCGTGTTTGATCCCTCGACAGTTGGAAATCGAAAAGGTGCAAGCTAATGCCTCTGTCCTGACAAAATTAGCCCAGATGGTGCAGAAAAAGTATTACATTAATTTCATTTCATTATATCTGCATTTTGTCTCCCCTGGTACTTCTTGGCCAACTATAATCATTATAGATCAGTACAATATCTAGATTGATTGAAAGAATTTTTTCTGCCTAACACAATAAAAATAAACTAATTATCTTTGAATTTATTTATTCATTTCAAGCATGACACAGATCATGATATTTAACAAAAGAATCCTAGACCATGTATCACAATGCGTATCGTATCTTAGACCATATATCACAATGCGTATCCTATAGTAGAACAAATATCACAATGCGTATCGTATATTAGACCATATATCACAATGAGTATCGTATCGTAGAACATATATCACAATGCGTATCGTATTGTAGACCATATATCACACTGCGTATCTTATCGTAGAACATGAATCACACTGCGTATTGTATAGTAGATCATGTATCACACTGCATATCGTATCGTAGACCATGATCGTGTATCACAATACGCATCGTAGCTCGCATCGTGGATCCCAATACATAGTCCATGTATCGCAATACGTAGCTCGTATATCGCATTACGTATGGTACCCCATGTATAACTCTACTTAACGTAGCTCATGTATCGTAATACGTATCGTAGCTCGTATATCGCATTACGTATCGTATCGCCTATGTAACAGTGGTCCCGTTTTTTCTCAATATTCTTCACGCGAAAAGTCCCTCAACAGATAGTTGGCATGCAAATAATAGTAAGAAATACCACTGTTCTGCTAATAAGAAGGTCGTTATAAGCCCAATAAGAAGGTTGTTATAAGCCTAATAAGAAGGTCGTTATAAGAGACCAATAAGAAGGTTGATATAAGACCAATAAGAAGGTTGTTATAAGCCTAATAAGAAGGTTGTTATAAGACCAATAAGAAGGTTGTTATAAGACCAATAAGAAGGTTGTTATAAGCCTAATAAGAAGGTTGTTATAAGACCAATAAGAAGGTTGTTATAAGCCCAATAAGAAAGTTTTTATAAGACCAATAAGAAGGTTGTTATAAGACCAATAAGAAGGTTGTTATAAGCCTAATAAGAAGGTCATTATAATCCCAATAAGAAAGTCGTTATAAGACCAATAAGAAGGTTGTTATAAGCCCAATAAGAAGGTCGTTATAAGACCAATAAGAAGGTCGTTATAAGACCAATAAGAAGGTTGTTATAAGCCCAATAAGAAGGTTGTTATAAGACCAATAAGAAGGTTGTTATAAGCCCAATAAGAAGGTCGTTATAAGCCCAATAAGAAGGTCGTTATAAGACCAATAAGAAGGTCGTTATAAGACCAATAAGAAGGTCGTTATAAGACCAATAAGAAGGTCGTTATAAGACCAATAAGAAGGTCGTTATAAGACCAATAAGAAGGTTGTTATAAGCCCAATAAGAAGGTTGTTATAAGCCCAATAAGAAGGTCGTTATAAGACCAATAAGAAGGTCGTTATAAGACCAATAAGAAAGTCGTTATAAGCCCAATAAGAAGGTTGTTATAAGACCAATAAGAAGGTCGTTATAAGACCAATAAGAAGGTTGTTATAAGACCAATAAGAAGGTCGTTATAAGACCAATAAGAAGGTTGTTATAAGACCAATAAGAAAGTCGTTATAAGCCCAATAAGAAGGTTGTTATAAGACCAATAAGAAGGTTGTTATAAGACCAATAAGAAGGTTGTTATAAGACCAATAAGAAGGTTGTTATAAGCCTAATAAGAAGGTTGTTATAAGACCAATAAGAAGGTCGTTATAAGACCAATAAGAAAGTCGTTATAAGCCCAATAAGAAGGTTGTTATAAGACCAATAAGAAGGTTGTTATAAGACCAATAAGAAGGTTGTTATAAGACCAATAAGAAGGTTGTTATAAGCCCAATAAGAAGGTTGTTATAAGCCCAATAAGAAGGTTGTTATAAGCCAAATAAGAAGGTCGTTATAAGACCAATAAGAAGGTTGTTATAAGCCCAATAAGAAGGTTGTTATAAGACCAATAAGAAGGTTGTTATAAGACCAATAAGAAGGTTGTTATAAGACCAAAAAGAAGGTTGATATAAGACCAATAAGAAGGTTGTTATAAGACCAATAAGAAGGTCGTTATAAGCCCAATAAGAAGGTTGTTATAAGCCCAATAAGAAGGTTGTTATAAGGCCAATTGGGACATAAAACTTTGTCCATTTCTCGTAACTGTTTGTTTACCGGATTGTTTCTCACCTGTATATCACCTGTAAAGGAGATCAATCACTTATCAGTCTATTAGTTGTCATAGTAACACCACTGTCTCTAAACTCAATCAGAATAACACAATACGTTTCAATACCTTGTTTATAACTTTCACAACTTCAACTTGTTAGGTGTCTAGTCGGTCATTCTACATCCGGTTGGCGGTGAGTACCGCCATCAAGTCATTCATCTAACATCCGGTTGACGGGAAGTAAACCGGTACTGACACCGTCACTATTAAGTTGGTCAAACTTCGATACTTAATAGCCAGTTACGTTTCTATGAACTTGGATTTGATGAAGGGGGTTGGGTAGATGGAGGAGGGGGTGGGGGTCACTGTAAGCTATTAGTGAGAAGATCAATGATCAACCAAAGGGGAATGGTTTGAACACCAAATGTAGACGTTTAAGGTTGCATCAAAATTCGAAAATACGCACCTTATCGCCCTGCGTCGAATTGATCAGATCACAAATAATATCATACAGTGTGCAATGAGGGAAAAGCAGAATTCAACATCACTTTTTCGATTTTTATCCCTCGAGAGGTGAACAGTCTACAGCACACGGAGACTCGGTTTATTGTCCTATGCTAGATCAGAAGTTCGGACTGCTAGTAACTGACGCGAATGACACGCAAACAAGCTGACAGGTTTTTTGAAGATAGATTAATTATTTTTGACAAGAATTGAGTATAAATCAGGGAGAAAAATGATGATATTCCATCAGAGAAAATCTGTACAACCAACAAGTAAGTTAGAAAACTTTATATTTTATATTTATCTAATGTTTAATTGAATATAATGGTATAGTCTATATCAATAACAATGTGACGGTTAAATAAGATGACATTAAAGAAATGAAATGATGGGGAATGAGGTTTTACTTCCTATATCAATTATTGATGGTGTCAGACGATATTTTGACGGAACACGATTTAAAGACGAATTTCATCAGATCATACTAAGTGTTGCTACTCACTGAAAACGGAGAAGAAACATCCAGACCTTCATTTTAATCAGATTTAATTTTCCGTATTATTTTACAGAATGAAATTAGCTGTTGTTTTGGTCGCTGTCGTCTTGGTAGTGAATGTAGAAGGCTGGGGATGGAGGGCTCCACGAATTCGAATACCACCTATTCGTATACCACGCATCCCTATACCACGTATCCCATTACCACGTTTACCACGTATCCCTATTCCAAGAATACCATGGGGTAAGAGAGATGTACAACAAGCAGCTGCAGCTGAAGACGGTGTTTTGTCCGATGATGAACTAAAATCCATTCTTGGTGTCGCTGATGAGGGTTTGGCTGAAGTTTATGAAGTTTATGATGTTAACGGTAAGTAATAAAGTTTATTGCATCTTATTTGAAGGGTGAAACTTTATCTAGACTCCATTGTTCAGATCAATGAGTATATCGAGGTACTGAAGCCACAAGAAACTTCCGACCCCTAGAAATCTTAGACAACGTCCTAGAGAGCAGAGTATGGTTTTATTTTTTGCAATACATCTTTAACTCAGTGAGTGTGTGTGTGTCATAAGAATGATATTGATAATGATGATTATTATAATAACCATGAATGATGATGATGATAAAACAAATAATGGTAATAATGATAATGATAATGATTGATGTTAATAATGATAATGTTAATAATGATAATAATGATAATGATAATGGTGATGATGATGATAATAATAATGATAATAATGATAATAATAATAATAATGATAATGGTAATAATGATAATGATAATGATGATAATTGATGATAATAATGATAATAATGATGATGATAATGGTAATGATAATGATAATAATGATAATAATGATAATAATGATAATAATGATAATAATGATGATGATAATGATAATGATGATGATAATGATTTTGATGTATATATTACAGAGGATGGAGTAATAACAGTTTCAGAATTTGAAGCTGTGTCTTCTATCCTTGAAAACAGTAGGTCTTTTCTTTTATTATGAACTCTGTCATAACTGAACCGAAATCACTTGGAGTAATCAGAATATGAAATGATCTTGTCACTGAACCGAGTCAATAGAGGTGATCAGAATGTGAAATGGTCCTGTCAAACAGTCACTGAATCGTGTCATTGGGGTAATCAGAATATGAAATGGTCCTGTCAAACAGTCACTGAACCGAGTCAATAGAGCTGATCAGAATGTGAAATGGTCCTTTCAAACAGTCACTGAACCGAGTCATTAGAGGTGATCAGAATGTAAAATGATCCAGTCAAACAGTCAACCTGATCAGTTAACATGTGTATATTTATTCTAAAGCATTAAAAAAGGGAGGGGTATCCAATCCAATCGCTGCATTACAAGACAGGAGGTAACTATTGCAGTCAAGGTATTAGACGCAGATCATAATAGTTTAATAAATGTATTAATCCAACCTAATATATATCTGTTCAATTTCAGTGCAAGGCGAAGAAGAAGGACAATAGATGATGACAAGACGAACCTGAAAGATCACCTCACACCGCCCTGACTAAAATCGGCCGATTATTTGAAATTTAAAATAAATTATAACAGCATCAAAAATAGTTGTATTTATTACTTCATTGAAATGAATGAAGTTTTACGTCTACTCTTTTCCCTATCAATAAGTCTCTATTCATATTACCTCAACTAAGATCAAATCTAGAATTTCATATGTATGGATATTCCACATTTATCAGTTCTGCCATCTGTCAGTCGGTAAATGATGGTTTCCACCCACATCATGTTGGACATGATTGGTTATTTAAAGGTTTTTTAAACCTGGTATCGGGAACACTGACAGCATCGATTTGCACCATTCCAATTTTCAATTAGACATCCGTGGTTCCTGCAATTCCACTAAAACTTAGCGTTTATAACGTTACTATCGAAAAATCTGCTTACAGGCTACAGGTCCGACATGAAACGCTTAATGGAATGTATTGTACTATTTACCTTACCAATATTCTAGAACAGAAAGATAGATGTATCTTTTTCTTCTCATGTTATATGATTTCTGTATTTGTAAATGTTGAGGAGACTTAGAAATAAATAAACCCAGTAGGCCAACTAACAATCTGAACTGCAAAACGAAACCCAAAATAAACAACATATTGGCGAAACATTAGTAGCAGCACAGGCCTTTGAAGTTCTATCAATATTAATAAAATGTGGGAAATGTGGAGAAAATTGTGAAAACGTACATAAAAAGAGAAGGCCTCCAATGGCGTAACAGGCACAAATGTAAACAAAGCTGTTTATTTGTTGGTGAAAGACTTCTGCTTTATTTTTTTGGTGTTTTTGTACAAAGGACTGCTTATTTATAACTCCAGTGTACTTTAATCATACATCAATCAATTAGTACTCGCCAGAGAACACTTTTGTCTTGTTTTGGAAAATAGTCAACTTCCATGAGCAAAACGCCATTACACTGCAGTCCCGCACAAAATGTCGTTTTACTTAATTATCATAAACCCTCCTTCGATATGGATCTTCTCATTCATGTTTTGAATTGTTGCTAATCCCCCACCCCGCCCACTAAATCACTACCTGATCTCTTCAATCATTCCCAACCCTGAATCATTCCACCACCCCTATCACTGTAACAATTCTTACAGACATCTTAGTATTTTGGAACTTAGTCAGATAGAAACCTGGTCATTTCAGAATCCATATTGGGTCATTTGACCATTTTGTTATTTGATCATCTAGGACCCCAATAACCTGTCCGACACCCACCTACGGTTCCTCCCTTTTCTTTTAACTTTTTCTTTACTTTGTCGCCTTTTCTTAAATTTTTGCCCCAACCTGGGATTCTCTCTCCTATCGCTTTTCTTTACTTTCTCGCTTATTCTGACCTTTTCTCGCTTTTTTGCATTTTTTCACTTTCTGGTGTGCGAGAGGTCGAGGGTAGAAATGGCCACCAACGGCTTCCATAGTTGACCAGTTCGAAAGTGACAGTACCAGGTGAAGCCCCTTGAGACCTTGTTGTCTTGGGGTGGGGGAGCGGGTGGTTGATGTGGACCAACGGCCCAAGCCCTAAATACGCCACTGCCTTTATGCAAAAGATAATTTTATTTAGATAATAACATGTCTGTTTTTCTTGTAATGATTATTTTCTAGTAAATGATAGGTGTTCGTAAACGTCCCTCATTGCACACTGCGTGATGTTGCCCACCTTTTTAATATAGGGAAGAAAGGTAGGACGTAAAACTTCATTTCATTTCGAGGGAGGAATAACTGCAACTATTTCTGATGCTGTTATAATTTATTTATTTTAAATAATCGGCCGATTATATTCAGGACGGTGTGAGGTCATTCTCCAAGTATATTTTGATTAGTTCTCTTTGTCTCCCGCTGAAATAGAACAGAAATTTATCAGGTGTGATTAGGTATTAATTGTCTGAAAATCATCCCGGGACTCAAACCAAACTGAGAGTAGGTACATCAATCAGAAGATTTTTCAACAATTATAAACACTCTATTAAAGGGATTGTAAAGAAATTTATCTAAAAGGAGAATGGAGGCTATTTCAGTCAAGGTATAAGGCGCAAAATTCGTAATGGGCTGTTTGACGGGACCATTTCACATTCTGCTTACACATAATGGCTCAATTCAGTTTTGCCAGATTTAATTTCATCGTTAGACAAAACATCGTCTTTAGCTGCAGCATTGAAAGCAGCGTCATCATCCGCTTGTCTCGCATTTCTCTTACCCCAAGGTGTTCTTGGTATGGATGGTATACGTGGTATAGGGAAGCGTGGTATAGGGAAGCGTGGTAGAGGGAAGCGTGGTATTCGGGGCGTCCATTTCCAGCCTTCCACATTCACTACCAAGACGACAGCGACCAAAATAAGAACTAATTGCATTCTGTAAAAATCAATCAAATTAAAGAAAACCACGTCTAATTTGATTGACCTGTTGAAACTGGAAACTTTGTCCATTTCTCGTAACTGTTTGTTTACCGGATTGTTTCTCACCTGTATATCACCTGTAAAGGAGATCAATCAATTATCAGTTTATTAGTTGTCATAGTTACACCACTGTCTCTAAAGTCAATTAGAATGACACAATACGTTTCAATACCTTGTTTATAACTTTCACAACTTCAACTTGTTAGGTGTCTAGTCGTGCGTTCTATATCCGGTTGTCGGCAAATACCACCTTCAGGTTGGTCATCTTACATCCGGTTGACGGGGGATTTTTAGGAACATGTAGGTGGAGGGGCCAAGAAGGGGATGGGATGAAAGGGGTTGGGTAGATGGAGGGGGGGGGGGGGATCACTGTAAGCTATTAGTGAGAAGATTAATGATAAACCAAAAGGGAATGGTTTTAACACCAAATGTAGACGTTTAGGGTTGCATCAAAATTCGAAAATACGGCACCCTGCGTCGAATTGATCAGATCACAAATAATACCATGCAGTGTGCAATGAGGGAAAAGCAGAATTCAACATCACTTTTTCGATATTTAACCCTCGAGAGGTGAACAGTCTACAGCACACGGAGACTCGGTTTATTGTCCTATACTAGATCAGAAGTTCGGACTGCTAGTAACTGACACGGATGACTCGCAAAAAAGGTAACAGGTTTTTTGAAGATAGATTAATTATTTTTGACAAGAATTGAGTATAAATCAGGGAGAAAAATGATGATATTCCATCAGAGAAAATCTGTACAACCAACAAGTAAGTTAGAAAACTTTTTATTTAATATTATTGCTATTCGCTGAAAACGGAGAAGAAACAGAGCTTCATTTAAATCAATTTTAATTTTCCGTATTTTTTACAGAATGAAATTAGCTCTTGTTTTGGTCGCTGTCGTCTTGGTAGTGAATGTAGAAGGCTGGGGATGGAGGGCTCCACGAATTCGAATACCACCTATTCGTATACCACGCATCCCTATACCACGTATCCCATTACCACGTTTACCACGTATCCCTATTCCAAGAATACCATGGGGTAAGAGAGATGTACAACAAGCAGCTGCAGCTGAAGACGGTGTTTTGTCCGATGATGAACTAAAATCCATTCTTGGTGTCGCTGATGAGGGTTTGGCTGAAGTATATGAAGTTTATGATGTTAACGGTAAGTAATAAAGTTTATTGTATCTTATTTGAAGGGTGAAACTTTATCTAGACTCCATTGTTCAGATAAATGAGTATATCGTCGAAGCCACAAGAAACGTCCGACCCCTAGAAATCTTAGACAACGTCCTAGAGAGCAGAGTATGGTTTTATTTTTTGCAATACATCTTTAACTCAGTGAGTGTGTGTGTGTCATAAGAATGATATTGATAATGATGATTATTATAATAATCATGAATGATGATGATGATAAAACAAATAATGGTAATAATGATAATGATAATGATTGATGATAATAATGATGATGAAATTGATGTTAATAATGATAATGATAATGGTGATGATGATAATGATAATAATGATAATGTTAATAATGATAATGATAATGTTAATAATGATAATGATAATAATGATAATGATAATAATGATAATGGTAATAATGATAATGATAATAATGATGATGATAATGATGATGATAATGATAATAATGATAATAATGATAATGATAATAATGATGATGATAATGATAATGATGATGATCGATGATGATAATGATTTGGATGTATATATTACAGAGGATGGAGTAATAACAGTTGCAGAATTTGAAGCTGTGTCTTCTATCCTTGAAAACAGTAGGTCTTTTCTTTTATTATGAACTCTGTCATAACTGAACCGAAATCACTTGGAGTAATCAGAATATGAAATGATCTTGTCACTGAACCGAGTCAATAGAGCTGATCAGAATGTAAAATGATCCAGTCAAACAGTCAACCTGATCAGTTAACTTGTGTATATTTATTCTAAAGCATTAAAAAAGGGAGGGGTATCCAATCCAATCGCTGCATTACAAGACAGGAGGTAACTATTGCAGTCAAGGTATTAGACGCAGTTCATAATAGTTTTCCTTTTTAAAAATGTATTAATCCAACCTAATATATGTCTGTTCAATTTCAGTGCAAGGCGAAGAAGAAGGACAATAGATGATGACAAGACGAAACTGAAAGATCACCTCACACCGCCCTGAATAAAATCGGCCGATTATTCGAAATTTAAAATAAATTATAACAGCATCAAAAATAGTTGTATTTATTACTTCATTGAAATAAATGAAGTTTTACGTCTACTCTTTTCCCTATCAATAAGTCTCTATTCATATTAACCAAGATCAAATCTAGAATTTCATATGAATGGATATTCCACACTTATCAGACAGGTATTTTTGGACGAAGGACTGTTTACTTATGACTCTGGTTTACTTTTTATCATACATCAATTCAAGTAGTACTCGCCAAAGAGCACTTTTGTCTTGTTTTGAAAAATAGTCAACTTGCATGAGCAAAACACCATTACAATGCAGTCCCGCACAAAAAGGGAGGTAAATGAACTACAGACAACAAAGGGTTTACTATGCCCCTTAACTTAGGTCAAAGTTATAATTAAGGAATTAAATTAAAATATACATACATATAAAATAAATTAAAAACAACACCTTTATATCAATAGCATAATTCTTTGAATGTTTCATTTGACTAGTTTGTTATTTGGTCATCTAGGACCCCAATAACCTGTCTGACACCCACCTACGGTTCCTCCCTTTTCCTTTAACATTTTCTTTACTTTCTCGTCTTTTGTTACATTTTTGCCCCAACCTGGGATTCTCTCTCCTATTGCCTTTCTTTACTTTCTCGCCTTTTCTCGCTTTTTCGCCCTTTTTCGCATTTTTTCACTTTCTGTTGGGCGAAAGGGCGATAGGTCCAGAGTAAAAATGGCCACCAACGGCTTCCATAGTTGACCAGTTCGAAAGTGGCAGTATTGGGTTTACTTCTGATTGCGTTTAGAGACACTGGTGTTACCATGACAACTTATAGATTGATTTACAGGTGAAGTCCCTTGAGACCTTGTTGTCTTGGGATGGCGGATGGGGGTGGTTGATGTGGACCAACGGCCCAAGCCCTAAATAAGCCACAGCTTTATGCAAAAATAGGGTTTGATATAGGGAAGAAAGGTAGGACGTAAAACTTCTTTTTCATTTCGAGGGAGGAATAACTACAACTATTTCTGATGCTGTTATAATTTATTTATTTTAAATAATCGGTCGATTATATTCAGGACGGTGCGTGGTTATTCTCCAAGTATATTTTGATTAGTTCTCTTTGTCTCCCGCTGAAATAGAACAGAAATTTATCAGGTGTGATTAGGTATTAATTATCTGAAAATCATCCCGGGACTCAAACCAAACTGAGAGTAGGTACATCAATCAGAAGATTTTTCAACAATTATAAACACTCTAAAGGGATTGTAAAGAAATTTATCTAAAAGGAGAATGGAGGCTATTTCAGTCAAGGTATAAGGCGCAAAATTCGTAATTGGCTGTTTGACGGGACCATTTCACATTCTGCTTACACATAATGGCTCAATTCAGTTTTGCCAGAGTTTATAGTAAAAAGAATTGACCTACCGTTGGCAAGGATAGTGGTGACAGATTGATATTCTTCAACTGTTATTTTTCCATCGCCTGTAAAATAAACATCATCATCTTTATCATCATCATCATCATCATTCATCATCATTCATCATCATTCATCATCATTCATCATCATCCATCATCATTCATCATCATTAAATGATGACTGTCAGACTCCGCCCCGCCCCCCACTCACACACACACACACACACACACACACACACACACACACACACACACACACAAACCACCTTAAAGATTTATTGCAAAACTACAATCTGAATCTTCTCCCTAGGGTGTTGTCTTATAGGATTTCTTGGAGTCGCAAGTACCTGTACTTCGATATACTCATTGATCCGAACAATGGAGTCTAGATAAAGTTTCACCCTTCAAATAAGATACAATAAACTTTATTACTTACCGTTAACATCATAAAGATCATAAAAATCAGCCAAATCTTCATCTTTAACTCCGAATACAGATTTTATTTCATCGTTAGACAAAACACCGTCTTCAGCTGCGGCTTTGAAACCAGCATCACCTTCGGCTTCTCGCACATTTCTCTTACCCCAAGGCATACGTGGTATGGATGGTTTACGTGGTTTAGGGAAGCGTGATATAGGGTAGCATGGTGTAGGGAAGCGTGGTATAGGGAAGCGTGGTATAGTGAAGCGTGATGTTCGGCGCGTCAATCTCCAGCCTTCTACATTCACTACCAAGACAACAGCGACCAAAATAAGAGCTAATTTCATTCTGTAAAAAATCAATCAAAATAAAAAAACCATGTCAAATTTGATTGACCTGTTGAATCATGGAATCAATTTTTTGCTCCTTATATTTTCGTGGTGTATCCAAATTTATCACAAAACATTACAGTTTCTGTGCTCATAACACAGGTTTATTAACAATTATGCAAATTTGGCCACATGTAAACATGGTAAGTTGAATTGAGGGGAAAGGACATGAACCGGTTCCAAAAACATATCTTTGATTAAAATTTCAATTTAGTAATCACGTGAACCTGTATACCTAGATCTAATTTCTTAGGCGCGAAGACATTTTGTAGAAAGATGTTAAAAGGCTGACTTCAAAATAAAAAAGTTATATAGAAAACGTGAAAGGAATTTGAGGAAATATGCGTTTATTGATAATTGTGTAAAAGGATAGAATTTATGAATTTCGTTGCCAGATAAAATATTTCCTTCGCCAAGGCTGGGTAATATTAAATCTGGCAACTCAATTTACAAATATCATATGTCATAATCACTCGTTTAATAAGCTCTATTTATGACAACCAGTTATTAATTAAATTTTCATTATTTCCCCCTAAAATCCCTGGTTTTTATAAATCTGAAAGGTATATAGTCGTGTAAATATTTGAAGATTGCGTGGTACAATTACAGTTTTCTATGGTCAAATAAGAAAAAATGACAATACTAGAGGACGACATTGATCTACTAAACTGTGTTTATCACACATCTCTGTAGTTAATCCTTTTGTCCATAAGTTACTTTCAAATCACCCGATTCAGATCTCTATCAATTCAAAAGGTCTACTTACTTGCCAGTCTTTTTAAGAAATTCAAATTTTATATTCGTTTTATAGTTGAAGAATCGATATCGTTATAACAATCAACTTTATTCTGAAATATCTTCGTTTATCTCTCCAATTTATAATCCATTCTTGTTAAAATTAATTTATTTCTTCTCAGTATTATTTAACATGTTTACCTTATATCACACCAAATCAACAAAAGATATTTTTATATTTTCTGGACTATGGTGAAAGATCCTGTAAAGTTAAGGAAATGTTTCTAGATTGACGGTGTTAGATCCTGTAAAGTTAAGGAAATGTTTCTAGATTGACGGTGTTAGATCCTGTATGTATGTAAAATAAGGAAATACTGGTGACAATTCTTCACAATCTACAGACTACAAGTGTCAGTTTATAGTTTTATGGAGTCTGTGTGTGGGTGTGTGGGTGTGTGTGTGTGTATGTGTGTATGTGTGAGGGTGTGTGGTTTGTGTGTGTGAACCTTTTTCAACCATGACTTGTATGATAATATATCCATGCAGCGATAATACGATACTCAAGTGTTGATGTTGGTACCAATAATAGTCCAAATCAAGGAAATCATTCGCCTCATCGAGTCTAATTCTAGGTTGTGTGAAATTTGATTTTTTTTTCATCAAAATGGACATTTTTCATTCTACCTGCCCATCAAATAATAAAACAGTCTTGTTGTGGAGTAATTAACAAGAACACAGTATCATAGTCTCTGTGGGCTTTATCTTCCGTATCATGATGTTCTCTTGGTATTTCCGGGTTGTATCGTCGTGGTTTGTGAAGAGGGTTCTATTCAATAATGTGGCTTGGGTTCTCGATCAGATGTTGAGTTTTACGAATATCAAGATTCAAATGACCTGTTGGAGTGTCGGAGTGTCGGAGTGTCGGAGCAGTCAGGGTGTCGGAGCAGTCGGAGAAACCATGACACCGCAGCATAAATATGTTTTATGGTCTATAATCCGTTTTTAATTATAGTCTTAATTATGGGCCTATGGGTTTTTTTGGAGACGTGCTGGGATCTTAAAGGGAAATGTTATATCAATTTCACAATGTCCAAATATCGTTTCCATCCAGTTACATCCTGAGATTTAACAAAAGTGATGAAAGACTTCAGGATTTGACAGAAAATGTTTTGGACAACGTGTGCCATATTTTCTATGATTTGTCTCCCCTGGTACTTCTTGGCCAACTATAATCATTATAGATCAGTACAATATCTAGATTGATTGAAAGAATTTTTTCTGCCTAACACAATAAAAATAAACTAATTATCTTTGAATTTATTTATTCATTTCAAGCATGACACAAATTCTTTAATGTAATATATTATGTGAAAGTTGCTGGGGTGGGGATGTCAACCTGCCGGCCTCAGATAAAAATGGCAATATTTCTATAATATTTTTTCACGAGAAGTATAAAAGAGAGTTGAGAATAACGTGTATATAACATGTACAAATCGTTCCTCTTTACGAGGCAAGAATGACGTTTATTCATAAATAGCACCATCTACTGTACACCGGACAACAAGGTGCTCTGAAAGCTGAAGGATTAAAACGTTAAACAGGCAGAAGAGTCTGTCTGTGTTTCCTAAGCTCTTTAGCCAATTCTTCATATCCTACATCTTTATTTTCAAGACACTCAAGAAACAAATGGAATGCCTGTCTTCCCGAAAATCGCAAAATTTCCAGCATTTTTTCCACACCTGAAGCACGGCCACTTCGTTCTTTAGTTGTTGTTATAATATCCAATTCGTCTTGATCAATAACTTGCTCGTTAAATAGATGATCTATTAGTGGATGAAGACAGATATCTGTTTTAAGCCTGACATGGAAATATTGAAGAGTGCTTCTATCGGCATCAGGAAGACTTCCACGACTCTTCTTCGACATTTTCTGAAATATATATTTGTTTAAACAGAATATGTTTAACCTTTTCAAGTTGCTTATCATTTAGATCGTAAACGCCTGGTTTTTGTCCCCCCCACCCTTGCCATTTCTATGGCCTTTATTCGCCCCCACCCCTGCCCCCTCCGCCTTATAATCGAAAAATACCAGTGGACAATATCAGGGAGCCAACATTTTTTTAAACAGATGCCTTTTAGAACACCACCTATGGCAAGAAATTGTTCTTAAAGAGGTTGTAAAGAGGTTTTCTAGACTTTTTAAGAGTGTGGTGGTATAATGGCTACGAATTCTGTCGCTGTAGCTACGTCATTTCCGGTTAACTCTTTCTTGGAATTGGAATGTCCAAATAGATGTCAAAGGTGTCCCCGATACACAAGAAAATGCTAGAAAACCTCTTGTTAAGTTTAACATGTAATTAAATATATTACTATATAACTGTTGGTAGGTTCTTTCGGGTATTATATTATACATTGTACTATATTGAATCACAATGACTTGACATATTGCAACACATACAGCTAACTTCTCAAGGTAAAACAACATAGGCGACAGACAGAACTTTATTAATTATAGGTGAATATAGAGGCTTCATCGACTCGAAATCGATATGTTACCATGTATAATAGTTCTGTATACTTACTCAAACTCAGAATCTTCAAACCCCTATTTGATCCTTAACTAAATACAGTCACGAGAGAACCTGTCCCTTTTTCAATCACGTGATAGTTGACAAGGAAGTATTTTGTATTCATTTCAGTTTCTTATGTCTGGTAAAAGTGAAAGTAAAAGTTATACTTGTGCCTTGGAACATTTCACGGCAATGAATCACGTAGGTCGAGATAATACCCTCGAATTTTTCATCCCAATTTCCCGCTATCAGTGATTCAGGTCGAAGGGGCTGACATGGTAGTCGTTCGCTTGGGACAATAAACCGAGGCCCTGTGTGCTACTGTTTGGGGATAATGAAGCTCTCTAGACAAGTGAGATATTAACCCTTCGTACTCTCATATTGAATCAGATAAAAGTTATAATATTCATATCATTATTTTATTCATGTATTAATATGAGAAGGATTAAGACAAAGTGTTCTAAATGATAACTTTTCTGATACAAAACTCTAAACAAACATACAGTATGAAGAGAAATAAACAACCACTGTACTATTTCTACATCAATAAGTGAAAATGTTACGGTTGAATTAAATTATTTTAACAAGACAATCTAGAAAAGAGGCAGGATTTCCAGTTTAACTTTCACTCCTTTTTTACAAAACTACAAAACTACAATTTACTTCACGGTATGTGAGATTCGTTCGTTAAGATTTGAGGCACTTGCTAACCCTCCAGGCAAAATAACCGGACCTGCAGGATCATCAGGACCCACAGGACCTTCCAATGATCTCCGGTCTTGGAAGAACCACTCATACCCTCAGAAGCAGTGCCACAAGTGGTCACTGTTTGGGTGAAAACGATATTTTCGGTGACTTTTTCAGTACATAATTTTGGTAGATTGCAGGTGTATGTGCGACTTCCATCTCCGGTCTTACAATTACTGGCTTTAAAGTGAGATCTAACTTGTTGTCCTTTATATTTCTGTAAACAAACAGTTTCTACCCAATCCTGGACCTTTTCATCACAAGTTAAACCACATCTATTAATTCTGTTATCACCACATCCGCACCATCCACCACAACTATCAATTACATCAAAGTTTTTAATAACTACATCGTTTACTCGGGCATCACACCAACATCTGAAACATAAAACGAAACGTGTTTCTGTGGGAAAAAAATATCGAAGTTTGTAGATGCAGCGTTATGATTAGGTTGTACGCTAGAGAATACAGCAATTTAGGGGCCTTGGCAGAAAGGTCTCCGCTAAATATATTTTTATTAGATGTCTAATTGTCTATAGTCAAGATGTTTACCGGTTGAAGTGTACGGAAAGCCTTGCTTGCTCCATAGATAACAAGATGTTTCCCTCATAGAAAAAACAACTCTATAGTTTTAACTTACCTTCGCCCTGCAGCTTCAACAGGTTGTAACGAAATAGCCACCATGACGAGAAGGGAGGTAACTACAGTTAAATTCATCATTATTGTTTGTAGTCTTGTCGGTTGTTTTATACCTGAAACAGATTGTAACGAAATAGCCACCATGACGAGAAGGGAGGTAACTACAGTTAAATTCATCATTATTGTTTGTAGTCTTGTCGGTTGTTTTATACCTGAAACAGATTGTAACGAAATAGCCACCATGACCAGAAGGGAGGTAACTACAGTTAAATTCATCATTATTGTTTGTAGTCTTGTCGGTTGTTTTATACCTGAAACAGATTGTAACGAAATAGCCACCATGACGAGAAGGGAGGTAACTACAGTTAAATTCATCATTGTTGTTTGTAGTCTTGTCGGTTGTTTTATACCTGAAACAGATTGTAACGAAATAGCCACCATGACGAGAAGGGAGGTAACTACAGTTAAATTCATCATTATTGTTTGTAGTCTTGTCAGTTGTTTTATACCTGAAACAGATTGTAACGAAATAGCCACCATGACCAGAAGGGAGGTAACTACAGTTGAATTCATCATTGTTGATTGTATTCCTGTCGGTTGTTTTATACCTGAAACAGTATTGGGATGGAAACTTTTTATTGATGGCTGGGTGTCTGAAATTGGTCTAGGCAGGCTCCTAACTAAAATGTGGTAGGTAGCAGATAATTATTCTTACCTTGAGACGTTTAACCTGAACAAAATATTATTATTCTTACCTTGAGACGTTTAACCTGAACAAAATATTATTATACTTACCTTGAGACATTTAACCTGAACAAAATATTATTATTCTTACCCTGAGACGTTTAACCTGAACAAAATATTATTATACTTACCTTGAGACATTTAACCTGAACAAAATATTATTATTCTTACCTTGAGACATTTAACCTGAACATAATATTATTATTCTTACCTTGAGACGTTTAACCTGAACAAAATATTATTATACTTACCTTGAGACATTTAACCTGAACAAAATATTATTATTCTTACCTTGAGACATTTAACCTGAACATAATATTATTATTCTTACCTTGAGACATTTAACCTGAACATAATATTATTATTCTTACCTTGAGACATTTAACCTGAACATAATATTATTATACTTACCTGAGACATTAAACCTGAACAAAATATTATTATACTTACCTGAGACATTAAACCTGAACAAAATATTGATATTCTTACCTTGAGACGTTTAACCTGAACAAAATATTAATATTCTTACCTTGAGACATTTAACCTGAACAAAATATTAATATTCTTACCTTGAGACATTTAACTTGAACAAAATATTATTATACTTACCTTGAGACGTTCAAATATGGTTCAAATATGTAAATTGTAAAATAATGTCCTTCTTGTGTTTGGGTCAGAAATCTTCTACTCCGATTCTAGGCCAGCATTTTTCTATCATTTACGACAAGATAAAATGGGGTAGGTGGTGCGTAACCAACTTTCAATTGTACCATATTATTTGACGTGACGTGTATATAGATAAGGAAGTTGAAGAATACGGATTTGAACAAAATATAAAGTCTACAAACACCCTGTTTATCTGTATATAATGTGTGTATTATTCACCAGTGTATTTTATAAGGTATATGATGTAACTATACTCTATTATACTATTTAAATATTAGCTCGAACATGTTCACAGATCTAGACATTTTATTTTTTTTATAAACAATATATAATATATTATCATGTATGCTGCCAAAAAAGTTGAATAGGGGTGAGTAATATATCAGAGGGGGGCAATAGGGGTGGAGTGTTTAGTGATGATATGCACCACCTCTACCCCCTCTCCTGTAACAACGGGCCTGATACTAAATTTGGTATTTGCTAGTTTTTATACAGTGCTTGTATATACTTTTACAGTGTTTATATTATGTTTGAGTGTTTTAGGATAACTTTCAGTATAAGTATAATTCTAGTATTTTATATTATTTGTTTATTTTGGTTACCACGATGTCGACTATGTTGAATTAAATAAAAGTTTCAAATATAGAATATAGATCTTCAGCCAATTCACTCATAATTCTCTCATTTATACAATTTTATTACATAGTCATTACTTTACCTTCATACATTATTCTATTACAGATTTCCTTTAAAACCTTTTGATGATAAAATAGGTAACCTTTACACAGGTTATAGTTTAAACAACTTTTAGGGTAAGCTTTCTTTGTATTCTTAGTTAATCATTTCAATTATCATATTTATACTATTGCCATTTATCTTTTATGGGGATGGAGTTACTTTATTGGAGGACGTTTTGGCCATTATTTCATTCGGTTCTTTCAGGGTTTTTGTTATAAAAAAAATCTTTAAATATTCAACCCTGGGGGGGGGGTTTTAACCCCCATCCCCCTCCCCACCCCTTAAATTAAAGAAGTTTTTGTTGAACAGTTTTCAGTACAGATTAATAACTGGCCCATACAATAATTTCGTGTTTCCTACAGATGATAACAGGGGGTTTTGGATTTAACAAGGGGTTTATATAATAGATAAGGGGATTGTTTTATTTGGACTGTTCCCGGATTAACATATGGGTTGTTTTTAAATTAGAGTTGGTAAACTTATTCCAACCCCCTTACCAAGACCCCCTTCCCCCCCCCCCCCCCCCCCCTTCAACTTCAGTATTTGTTCACATCTATACTGTAGAAACACCCTGTATATACTAGGTATAGTGGGTAAGTTTCCGTCAGTTAATATGAAAAAAAACCAAAACGAGATATAATGTATACCAATATATATATTCTGATGTAGACGTGATTAACACAAGAACAAAGATATAATATATTAAGCTGGAAGAGAGTAACAGATTTAGCTACAAAAGGGTTAAAGGATTAAGATTCAAAAAATTCAAAAACTACATGAAAACAAAGTCAGATCAATTTACTCTAATATAACCAAATATACTTCTTTATAACTGTAGTGCCCCCTTGTGGATACCATTGATACCACCGGATGAACCAGACGATCCTTTATTACATGGGGTGGTCACTGTTTGCGTCACGGTTCTATAACAAGTATAAGGGACACGTTTGGTGACTTTTTTATAACAAACTTTTGGAGGAGTGCAAGTGAATGTACGCCTTCCATATCCGGTATCACAGGTACTGGCTTTGTAGTGAGCTCTAACTTTCTGCCCTCTATATCCCTGTATACAGATATTTTCTGCCCAATGCTGGACGGTTTCATCACATTTTAAATCACATTGTAGCATATTGCTATTTCGACAACCGCACAACCAACCGCAACTGGAAATAACACCATTATTACCGAAAGACTTTACGATTTTGCCGTTAATCCGGGCATCACACCAACATCTATAAATAATACACAACACATTTCATAAATTCACAAATAGGAGTTTCTTTATAAAAAATATTCGACTAGTTTGATGTTCTAAGTTTCCCTGAAACACAAACAAGAATTCCTTAACCTTACATGTTTCCGCTTACAAACCATTAAAATAATTCAGACCCGAGTTATCAATTGAATGGTGTATAGAAAACAATGGTAAAGTCTATTAAAAAGTTAAAAGTCTGGATTTGGATTTAAATTATACAGTCATACAGAATAAATAACTTACCTTCGCCCTGCAGCTTCAACAGATTGTAACGAAATAGCCACCATGACGAGAAGGGAGGTAACTACAGTTAAATTCATCATTGTTGTTTGTAGTCTTGTTAAATATCTGAAACAGTAATAGAATATACTTGTCTTATTTATGGCTATGGGTCTGAAGTTGGTTCAAGAGAGGTTTCGTAATTAACCTGGGGAGGGGTTGGGCAGAATAAAAACTTTCTCTCAACCCCCCCATCCTCCACTGGTGGCAAGTAACAAACGAAACAATTAACCTACATATTCAACTAGCCTAAAAAATTCAATGATTACTGTTGAGATGATATCAGTCGTCAACTCGAATCACTGTACAAATCACTTCAACATTCATCATTCAATCTGAACAAAATATTATTATTCTTACCTTCAGACCTTCAAATATAGACATGATTTGTAAATGTGATTTTCTCGCCTTTTATAGAAAAAATATACATCTTTAAGGAGAAAAAGATTCGATTGAGCAATGCAAGGTCGATATAATTCTGTGGTGAAATTGTTCTTGTTCTTTGTGCTATAGATAGAGAGCCGAGTAGTGATTGTCCAATTTCAATTGTTCAATTTGACGTCTGTGTTGCAATGCGGTGAATAAAAATGGTAAAAATAGATAGTTAAGAACACGAACTCGGAACATAAAATAATGTTAAAGAGGCGGTTTGCAAAAAACGTTGTAAATTATACCTGAAAATATTACTTACATATGCTATTTACATCTGTGTATCTACTGGATCAATATGAGTTTGTTTTATAAAGGCATAATTGAAAAACTATTTATTAAACTAGTATGGGTGTTTGGCCTCATAAAGACTCCATATTTTTAGTTGAAACCTTCAGAATACGTAGGAGACATATTTCTCTACAACTAAGCGTTTAGTTTACTTAAATCCGTACAGTAGTTTTCTAACAGCTTCCAGAAAACATAACAAACTTTAAAATGTTACGTAGACGTTTTAAGTAATTGTGGCATTAAAGAATGACCTGCTGTTTATTGAGTTAAAACTTTCAGATAAGTTAAGGGACATATTTCTTTATATTTTTGGTGAATAGTTTTTATAAATTTGAGCAAAAAAAAGAATTTCGGTCTCATGCCCCTTTAAGAACACGAATGCAGACAAAAGAAGAGAAAACCTATTATTTCTTTACTGACCTTGTGTATAGCTCGCGTGTTTTTGGATTAGGGTGTTAAATGCCCGATACAGAAAATCGTGTTATCACTACAAAGCTCTGTATTGTATGTATATTTGTATGGTGCTTACAATCTATCTTATATTTTTACTTTACAGTGTCAGGTTTTAGATTTTTAGTAAGTTAATCTATTCTGCTATTCTACAATGTTGTGATTTCCATTGACTACTATTATCCAACTGTACATCTTGACAACCATATTACAGACGTCTTACTAGTTTATTCTCTTGTGCAGTCTTTCTAGTATCAACATGTTCGCACATTTCTCGGTTGCAGTTAACTCAAACTCCGCTTCACCCCCACTATTTTTATCAATTCTAGGATTTCAAGGAGCATCTCTAATGGCATTGAGCCAAACGTTGTCGATGAAAAGAAAAGTGATCAAGTCATCCCAATCAAATATGAGAGGATTCTGTCGATAATATCACAGACATCACCCAGGCAAGTCATCTGCTGGCTCCTATTTAAAATTGAAAGAACATCTTTGGTAAAATCTATTTCAAAAAGGCCCAAATAAAGTACTCGAATTGCAAAATACTAAAAGAGGTTGTGGGGGGTCGGGGAAGTGAGTGGGATGGAGCAGAAAACAATGATAACAAGTTACAATAATCTAATCTGGTCAAACCATGGTGGTTAACATTTCATTTTCTTTCTTAGGTTTTATTCATCTTGGTTTTCACCTGAAATATAAAACAATAAAAATATAGACTTATGAAGTTACAATTTAGCCCCAAGTTAAGATTATCTCCCTTTTCACTCAACATAACTTACTTCGGACGTCAGATGGAAATCGGGATGGTACAAATAGAATGGTACCAACATTTTCACGCTAGCATATACAGTTTCCTCCTGTTACATCCGCTGTACATTCCCTTCTAACCCCAAGTTATTTTCATTATGCTCCCCAACTACAACAACCACTGGCAAGAAGCCAGAAATAGAAACACTAATCGTCAACCAAACCAATATCACGTACCCTACAACGGCCCTGTCTTCCATCGACCTCTACCACCTACCAATCGCCGACCACCAACCAACCCATCCAGCTATATCCCACCCCATCGCCGACCTACCTACAACACAGCCTACCAATCAAGAGGTAACCATCAACCTGACCAACAACAGAAACGACTACCAGCCCACCGACGCCAACCGGTCCCCACTCATAAGGAGGAAGAACCCTTTGTGAAGGTGTTCTTCCAAGTTTTGCAGTGCCTCCATCATTTGGCAATCCTTACCCTTCAACAGCAAGGCCAACCAGCGTTTACCTTCAAACACAAAGTCTCTGAGTTGGATAGTTTTATCCGTCCAGCAATGAAAACATCAGCTGTCGACGCGAATATTAGATCCCTCAATCGGACATGGCTCTGTAAGGTTACGCAGGTCCTGATCGACCATTACCAAACCACACTTCAAGAGAAGCTGACCACCATTCGTACCAAGTCTTTATCATCACCTGCCGTCGACCGCATCGCTTCTCATGCCCTGTCCTGGGCCCGTCGCTCCTATGGGAAACGTCTCACTCAAGCTGTAATTTCCAAATTCTACCAAACAATCAACGAAACAAAAACCAGAGTAACCATATCTCTACCAACTGAAATGGACACTACACCTGCACCATCTAGAGCTACCACGCTGCCGAACCAAACCCCTAAACGAGCCCGAAGTTCACCTACTCCTAGTCCAGAAGACATAGGTAAACGCTCTCGTAGAGAGGGCACACCACTTCTCTTTTCACTTTCAGACTCGTCTTCCCCTTCCACACCATCTGAATCTTCACCACGTGATCCAGGATCCGCCAACCTTTCTTCCTTCTGTGCGTTTTTGGACCAGCAAACCACCCCTCAGTCTCCATCCAAGTCGAGACGTGTATCCAGACCTTCCCCTCCTCGAACCAGATCCCAGTCTCTAAAGAAATCAACCTTAATAATTGGATCATCTAACCTGAATCGAATTACCAAAACCAGTTCAGACACCGAAATACATTCTTACTCCTGTGCCCAAATCCATCACATACAGTCAATCCTGGAATCATACGACCATGATCCCAAACCTACTACCATTATTCTTCATGTAGGCCTCAACAACCGTGATCAGATACCAAAGACCTCCTTTAACCAAGCCCAGAAATTAATCGCCACAGCCAACAAAACCTTCCCAAACTCCAAGATCCTCTTCACATGTATACCCATTTCAAATACAATCTCGAAGAAAGCACAACAGAACCTCAGCACCCTCAACAACATGATGATGGAGTCCAGTATCAACAGCGCAACAATCTTACCACCCTACGAAGAAGAATTCGAAACAGTTGATAATCTTCATTGGTCTCCAGAAACAGCAAACAGCATTTATTTGTTTTGGATACACCAGCTTCAAGCATCGAGTAAGTCTTTAAACTAATTACTGGGGATAAAAATACTGAGAGGCCATCGCTGTAGTTAACTTGAGCCGCAAAATTCTCACACCCCTTCAGCATTCAATCTTAGACCGTGGACTTAAGTTTATTCCCACACCAAAGATAGCTAACTTGAATTATCTCCGACCATCCATTGAACGATTTCAACGAAATCTTAGCTGCACATATTTTTTTCGAAACCACCCCCACGTGGTGCTAGAACAATGTTTATTCCTAAATCCACGTGGACACCCCCTCAGGCCGCCATCCATCCTGAAATATTGAAAGCATTTGCTAGTATGAATAGCCAAACAGTGAACCTTTCCATAACACACGAAAAGCCTAATCTCACACGAGTGGAACGTGAAGCGTTAAACTTACTTAAGAAAGACGATAGCATTGTTATTAAAAAGAGTGACAAAGGTTCATGTTGTGTCATTCTGAATAGGGAGGATTACGTTTCAGAAGCAGAGAATCAACTGAATAATCCTAAACATTATGCCATTTTACCGAAACCAATTTTCAAAGAAACTGCTAACATGATTAATAATATTCTTGCCGATTTATTCAAAACTAGTTATCTCAAACAGAAACAATATGACTATCTGTCTGCCAAACCTGATTGTCGCGAGAGACATTTGTACACTTTGCCTAAAATCCATAAGAATCCAACCAAGGAGTGGTTTATCTCGAATAAAATCCCTAAAGGCCGCCCGATTATATCTGACTGTGGTAGTGAGTCATATGCAGTGTCAGAATACATTGATCATTTCTTACTACCTCTAGCATGTCAACATCGCGCTAC